TTTGAAAGCCACCTAGATGAACCTTAGACTGCCACATTAATCTAATACAATGCAAAAAATGCCCTATCAAAAGTGGTTAAAACATTCAAACCGAATGTCGTTAAGTCCCCATATATCCCCATAGAGACAATAAAATAGAGTACTCTAAAGTAAGAGTACAGTTTATGGTTGTTCAGCCGAGCGTGGATGAGCCTGCAGTCATGCTACAAAATTTGTTCTGGGGTATGATACTCCAAAATGTGATCTGACACACACCTTGAAAACGGGTAGCGTGGTCCGATATACCGGTTAATTCAGGATCCTTAGGTGCCGAGTCTGGTAGTTGGGTAGGCCTGATATCATTTATTATCAAATAAAAATTCTGAAACAATTTCTTATATTTACTTAAAAATTTTAAAGCGTCTTAATTGTTACAGTAACCAAATGATATTGCACCTTTTTTATGATTAAAAAAATTTTTGAAATAGAATGTTGATGAAAATGCAAAATTGTAAAAATGCACTAAAATGTTATATTTTTCTGTTTTGATATCTTTACTTAAAGGAATGTAACAAAATGTGTTACAATAGGTATCTTTCAAGTACTACTGATTATATCTATATACTTGTTTAGGGGTCTAAATGAAATCCAACAGGAATATTTCCTATTTTATTAAGCAATAAAGAAATTTTTTCCTTTTCATATAGCAATCGGTGTTAATATTTATTCCCTGAGGTGTTAACACTAGGAACACCGGTGATACATCATCAGTGAAGTCCCTGTCTCCATGATGGTACTGCCCTGGAAGAATAAAATTATATTATAAAATGTCAATTGTTTGAATCCAATGTTTTTTAAAATCTGATCTTTCATAAAGGGTAAAATTGTCAGGTAATGAGCCTTAATATTTTTATATGAATCAAATATAGAAAATATATTTTCTAGTACCATTTGCACATAAAGTGCCTACATTATATTTCCAAATAAGTTATGCCTATCTGTGAAAAACAAAGACCTCCCATTTACAACAGCATCTGATCAGGCTAACTCATTACCACTTAACAGATATATGTGACTTTATGTGAAAACCATAATGAGACTGTACCTGTGTTGCATACTAAGCACCTGTCCGCCCCCATCAGATCCCTTGTTTTTTTCCCTCTCCATCCAGCCTGCGGTGGGTTTAAGTAACCGAGAGGGATCACGCTTTACATCTACTTTGACCTACAGACATGCAATAATGAATCATTAAGATATCAAATAAAATATGCATCAATGTAGGGATTCAACTTAACAACTGGCCAATAGAATTTTGCCCAGGCAGATAAATGAAAAAAATTAACTACATACACACTCGTATAGTGCTGAATTTTAGGGTTAAAAGTTCATTCACTTATTCAATTATATAAATAGTATAATTGGCCAAACTAAAAAAAAACTTGAATATTATGCATTTGCTTACTTGGCTTTTTATTCTTTCCAATCTTTCTTTCTTCTTTTTATCAGCCTCTTCTTTTGCCTTCTCCCTTGCCAATTTTTCCTCGAAAATTTTTTGATTCTAAAGGCAAAAAAAAAAAAAAAAAAAAAAATCATAGACTATATAATTCAACAACATGGACATTGCTTCTAAACTAAAAAAAAACACATCTTGTATCTGACCAAAGATATAAACAAGTTTTCTACTTAGTTGTAACATTTATCAATTTTAGAAAATTCACCATGGATATGATAATGGTTGATACATTTTGACTACACAAGACTACACAAAAGAGTTAAGTTTTGATTACTCTCTGTTTCAATCTTGGTAATTCCTTTGCTAATTGTTTTCTCTTAGCTTCTGCCTCTGCTTCTCTTTGAGCCATCTCTTCCAGTTTCAAAAAATCATCCACTTCATTCTTTTGCTGCTTATACTCCTGCACCATTGCTCGTAATTTTTCCTTCAAATAAAAAAAAAAAAAATTATCAATCAAAACAGCCAAAAATTATAATAACCAAGTAAGGGCAGTTTACATGAAAAATAAAAATTATAAGATGACATAAAATGTCAGTGTATAAGTTAATGACACTACGCTTCATGTTCATAAATTTCAAAACTTTACCTGACGTTCCTTTTCTCTTTCCTCCTCAGCTTTTTTTGCAAGATCTTCTCTTAGTTTTCTTTCCTCTTCTTGTACCCTTTCCAACTCCTTTTGAACCTTTTACATTAAAATGAAGATACTTTTTTATCTACAACACATATTAGAATAGATGCTTATTGCTGTGCGTTATTTAATATTTACATATCTCTTGGACAAAAAATTAAATGCAACTAAAATTTTACCATAAGAATATCAGAAAAAAAATCACAGAATGGTATAAGATTATTTTTAAGACATTTTAATGAAAATTCTAAGAACCAACTCACCTTCCAGGCATTAAGCTTTTTAAATCTATCTTCTTTCTCTTTCTCTATTTTTTCTTGAAGTTTTAACATCCTTTCATCTTCTTCACTCTCACTCTCTTCCTCAGCCTGTGCCAGTACTTCCTTTTTCTCATGCTGAAATGACATTACAACCATATACACTACACCACAACCACCTTATCCTTAGTCAGCAAGGTTACTACAAACTGCAGAAATTACATAAATTAAAATTTCCACGTAAATATTTTAACTTTAACAAGCAACCGCTTAATACAAAATATTCTTAGTTTTCAAACAGCATATTAAGGCTTTCAAAAAAAGAAAAATAAAAAAACTAAGGAAAACATGGATTATCAAGTAGCTACCTACATCCATGACTTGTTAGTCTTTTAACCTTTCATTGTTACAATACTGAAATATCTCAACATTTGATTCAAAACTCACTTCCTTCTTGACTCTCCATGACTGAATAGCATCTTTCTTCTTTTCATTTAATGAAGAATATTCTTGATACCAGTTTTCATGTTCTCTGATTTGGTGCTCTGTCTTTGTTGGTAGTGCTGGGTAAAGTTCACGAATAAAAAGAGGCTTACCCTGGAATATATAAATTTAAAATGCATTTCAAGTGAAAATAAAAGATAAATAAATGTTTTATTGTGATTTAAAAGCTAAAAAATTAACTTAGAAATGATTACCTTGTGCTTATTTCTAAACTTCATGAATGTCTGGTGATCATATTCATCCCAGCCTCCCCTGTGACCTCCTGTTTGCTGCAGAAATCTCTGGAACACAGTAGAAGTTCTTGCTTTAAAAAGACTATCATTTCCCAGTTTTTTTATCATTTTCTTATACAAACATATTCAACTCTGACATAATTCAAACAAAATCTAAAAATATATCTTACAACATTTGTAAGAGTAAGCTGCCTAATTCCTTTTAAAAAGCCCATAACTACATAACTATGAATTTAAAACAACAACAACAACAACAAGAAAATACCCAACTCTAACAGTAGTTCAAAAATACCATAATAACAATGGTAATAATAGTTGTATATGTACTTCAAAAGCTGCCACTTCAGGAGGCAAATCTTTGGTCACATCCCTGGCACTGGCTAGGGGTTTGGGTCGTGCAGATCTTGGTGTGTCCAGATTAACAGGTCCAGCTTGGGACCAGGCCTCAAATCTTTTCTCCAAAGCTTGAATTTCTTGAGTAGTAGCTTTCTCTTCACGCATGAGCTCCTCATAGCTGTAATTAGTATGATATTTACTCAATTTAATAATTTTTCTTAAAACGAATACATAAAGTAAAATTTTATGAACTAATATTTGTACTCATTTATTTATGAATGGTCAGGAACATTCAACAAGTAATAAAAGCCTCAACACAACATTAAACACAATCTACTTCTAATTATTCTGTACTTTTTGAAGATTTCTTGTACTTACTGTATTCTTTGTTCTTCTTTAAATGCACTGATTGTTTTCTCTATGTCCTCCATTATTATTTTCAATTTTTCTACAACTAATAAACAAGAAAAATAACTGAAAAATTCAAACAAGGAATAGAGCAATGAAGAAAAATACAGAAAATGTTCAATGTTCTCAATGACAATTATCATTGAAAGCAATGAAATAGGGCTTACATTCTGGTGTTGGTTTTACATCTTGCAGCTCATGGTGAAATTTCTTCACCATGCTTCTTATCTTATTTAGCTGTTGCTTCAATTTCACTTCTGAAAAACCATAATATGTTTCATTTATTGATACATATAATTAGTGTACTTATAATGAAACATGTCTCTTACTGCTCACAATATGAATACAAGAATACTTACATGTAACAGTCTCCATGATGGCGCATATATTCTAATGCCCAAAGGCTAAAATGCCTCTGAATTAAAATTGCAAAACTACAAATCTATATATTTTACACATAATGATTTTCTATTCAAGAACTGAAAACAATATTCGCATACTCTCACTGGCGTGTTCATTAGTGAACTTCATATCCGCATCTTCTATGTGGCTGAAGTCTTTTCTGAAGTCACTTCTTTTGCTGTACAGATGTGTGGACTTTTCTCTTTCCATATTTTTTATTCTGCAATGTTGCAAAACCATCAGATTAAATACTTTAAAAAGGGATATCATTTCAGTATTACAATAATATAGTTAATTGACGTTTCCAAGGATGTCTATCAACAAACATGATCAACTATAGATTGAAATGTGTACAGTCAAAGTGTCAATCAACATACATTTGTATCAACATTGAAGGCTGAACTTTTTCACGGATTATCATAATAAAGTCTGGGAATTATTATTACATGCTATTTAGTAAAAATCTTTCATTAAATATTAAGCAGGGAATAACACAAAATATTGGGGTCAAAGCCAGATACATTATGTTAAGAAAAAATGGCATACTTATTTCACTACAAATACTAACTTTGTATTTAGCTGAAGTATTTCTTTTATCAATTCCATCTTCTTGCTATGGTCACCTTTCCCGCGTGAAGAATGTGGGGATCGATCACTGTCAAGGCCCTAGACAATAGTCAAAATATATTTACATTAAAGGCCGGAGGAAGAGCGTAACACAACGTTTAGATTCCTTGGTCACTATTAATCTATTTCAGGATTGAAATGTTAATGTTATAAATGAACAACAGCCAACACAAATTAAGAAAACTTGGAAAAGTTCATTATTTGTCGACATTCCTCTCTGATTTTTACATAAATAAGATTTGGTTTTTGTTTAAATATATTTTAAAAATATATAGCCAATTTAAAGCTATTATTAGATCGAAGAAGCTTATAAGAGAAGAATAAATGCTGATACTTACATTTCGAACTTCTGCCCCTGTGGAAGCAGCCATTTTCAAACAACTTCGCGGTAAATGGAATCCAAGGGGGTCGAATATTATTCTAGACACAATTTCATCATAAAAACAATAGATATAAATTGTTTGTATTAATTTAATTATGAATAAAATAAAATATGTCCCGTAATATTGTTCTTTTATAAACAGTAGTATTTGCAGTCTATCATTTTTTCCAATCAAAACGCTACACGTCATTAACTTCCAAGATGTCGATTAGCCGGCGAAGGCTGTGTGTTGAAGAGCTATTAAATAATCCTCCGAATACCTTTTTAGAGGCGTCTGAAATACTTCTTAAATTTGCCAACAATGTTCTGAATGATCCAGAAAACCCCAAATATCGCTCAATTCGTGTCAGCAATCCGAAAGTGGAGCAGAAGTTACTGTTGGTCAGCGGTGGGATGGAGTGTCTGTTTGCAATGGGATTTCAGGAAGTGAGTTGTTCAATACGTTTGTCGTCCGTGTATGGGGAGAGAGTCCGTGGGGCAAAGTGGTGACTATTTCGTCAGAAAATTTAAAAAAAGGTTGTTGTTCCTTTGATAAATGGTTTTCCTTTTTAAAAGAAAACTAATTTACAGTCCAGGGATGGAAGTGGAATGTTGAATACAATGCAAAACCTTAAAATATAGGGGACAACACTGTACTGGTAGCAGTGCACACTTGCTCTTTGTTAGTTAATGTATAAACTGATACACGATAATCTTTTTTGTTTATTTCTAGTCTGTATATAATTTTGTTGTATTAATTTAAATAAAGGATGGAGAATACCTCCGCCTTCCACGGAATGTCCTTCTTGATGAAATGCGGAGTGTAAGAGATGAGCTTCATGAGGTGAGACAACAGCAGGTTAATCAGCAAGGAGCTGGTCAGCCTAAACCACAGCAGCCAACACCACAGACCACTCCACTTCAGACTCCTGCCTTTAATGTAGCCCTAATGGTATGTTGTATTTTTTTAAGGCTGAATTTGGATACAGACTATTCAAATTCAGCTTTGATTACTTATCAGAACAACTGCTTTATTATAGAATAGATTCTAGATCTACAAAATAATTTGAAGAAACCATACATTTTTCCTATATTGACAAACTTTTTTTTTTTTTTTTTTTTTTTTTTTTTTTTTTTTTTTTTAAGGCCAAAGAAATGACATTCTACAGCAAGTTGAGGTCAAGCTTTGATCATGTCCTTGTATATGAAGACCCAGCCCTTCAAGCCAAAGCAAGAGACTGTATGCCTTTACAGGAAATGAGAGCCGAGGCTCAAAAGAAGTTTGATGAACTCAGTGCCCACAGCAAAGCAATGAATAAACCTGTGGAAATTGATGTGAATGACATTCTGATATTAGAACTTGTAAACTGGTACAAAGATTTTTTTAGCTGGGTCAATGCACCAAATTGCGATAGTTGTGGGGGTGCAACCGAAAATGCAGGGATGGCGGAACCAACTGCAGAGGATAGAAAATGGGGAGCTGGAAGAGTGGAGAATTACTGGTGTGGCAACTGTAGAAAGCATGTACGTTTTCCGCGTTACAATCATCCTGGAAAACTGCTGGAGACCAGACGTGGCAGGTGTGGAGAATATGCCAATTGTTTTACCCTCTGCTGCAGAGCTGTGGGGTATGAGGCCAGGTATGTTTTGGACTGGACAGATCATGTCTGGACAGAGGTTTACTCACGGTCTCAGAAGCGCTGGCTGCACTGTGACACGTGTGAGAAAGGCTGTGACAAGCCATTGTTGTATGAGGTTGGCTGGGGCAAGAAACTGACCTATGTGATAGCATTCTCAAAGGATGATATCCAGGATGTGACATGGAGGTACACCAGGAACTTTCAGGAGATTCTCTCTCGGAGAAATGAGTGCAGGGAAAACTGGCTAGTCAATACCATCTTAGCTATGAGAAAAGAGAGGCAGAAGCACCTTCCACCTGCCAGAGCACAGGAGCTGGAACACAGAACCCTGGTTGAGCTGGTAGAATTTATGACGCCAAAGAAAGAATTGAAAGAAGGGGAGGATGTTGGAAGACAGTCAGGTTCTCTAGCATGGAGAATAGCAAGAGGTGAGGTAGGGGCACCACCAAAACTAAAGACCAACACACCTGTGATATTTAAGCTGACTGATGTTGAAAAGGAGAAGAAACTGTTTCACCTAAAATACTGCTGTGCGAGCGATACATATATCAGGGTGTCTAATGACAGTGAAGAAGTAAAAGGTTGGCAAGCTGGTGTGTTTGAAGAGGACTCCGTCTTCAGGAAGGAGGAACATGATTGGAAGATGGTGTACCTTGCCAGGCGTGAAGGTGCTGCTACAGCCTCTATCACCTGGAAAGTGGACTGCACAGGTAAGTTGGAAAAAGATGGGGGGGGGGGGGGGGAATAGATTTTATGGAGAATTTTGAGTAATGAGAATATATATGTTTAGAACCAAAGTCCAGTCTTGTGGAAGGTCATGAAGATTTATAAGTAACAAAACTTCAGGAATGTGAATTGTGTTACTTGAAATGAAAATTACTATTAACTATTATTACTATTCTACCTGGTTGCTCCAACAATCCTTATGTTCACACTTACTCTTTTTGTGACCAGCAATCACAATCTCTAAGTTTACCATCAACTGGATCTGAAAGCAGTTGCTTAGGGACCACTTTGGCATGATATTTTGATTCAAAATTTATGGCAAAAGTGTGCTGTTTGGGAAATTATTGTTAATTATTGATTTCTTCAATGGGCAAAATTTTTCAATCTCTCAAATGCATCATTTTGGAATCATAAAAAGTTATGATTCTTTATAAAGCATTTGTGGTGCTATTACTGTATAGAATAGAACTATAGCCTGTTTTTCAATTTTGTTGCTACCCCTTGATAACAATGTTATAATTTAAAGAATTTATTACCTAAAAAATACAGTATCTGTAAGATTTTCAATTTTCCCCTTTGAAAACATTGAGTTTTTACCATAAGTTGGTGTGTAGTTCTTCCATCAAATCTAAGTTATTTGAGCAGCTGAGCAAGGAACTTTTAAAGTTTCAAGTACTACATATCTTTTTTCTTTTTCTTTTTTTTTTGTTTGTTAGATTCGGGTCTTTTAGTTGACACAGTTGAGGTTTTAGCAAGCAGCTGTGTGTATGAAGATGGCAAAATTTCCTGGAGACTTTGTGGAGACAATCAAATATGCATGCCTATAAAAGGTCAGTAGCAATGAGAAAGTACACATGAAGATTTTTATCACCTACAAATACAGTAAGTTATCATCCAATCTAGAATAAAAAAACTGTGGTGATTAAAAGCACATGGCACATCTTTTGGATTCATCCAGAGCTGCTTATAGTTTTCTAAAACACTTGACTAAAAACATCCCAGACAAATGTTGACCAATTACATGGAACCGGAGAAGATTGATTGTGCCCGGAAGTGACGTGCAGTGGTGTTAAAAGCGAAGCTGAGTGGTCATTTTAACATAGAGGTGAACGGCAGTGAAGACGGGTTGTCGGAGGAAAAAGAAGTTTTCTAAACAACATGGTAAGATAACTCTCTTTTTTTACGCATTTTGGGCAGAGAATACTTGTAGAAATAATAGACGCATGATATGAAAACGTGACACGGAACTTGAAGGTGCAAAATCGTGCTTAATTTGCAGTCAACTTGTTTAGAAATAAATGCTGCGTCGACCGCCAGCGCGACAAAAAGCATAAAGGGGAAATAATTCCCGGGAGTCTATAAATCGTTGTCATGTGGAAATTTGGCATTAATATAATCCGATATGTCCATATCTAAGTATTTTTGGGTGTTTTATGGTATGGGCTGCAATCAAACGATGTTTTAGAGGTCTTGAAGGACCTTGTGAAAACCAGGAAGTAGTTCGTAACTAACAAGTGGAATGGACCGATCTCAGACTGCTGTGCACAGCTGTATCTTTTTTTCAATATATTGACGAATTTTTAGATCTTTATATGTCCATCTGGCATGAAATTCCACACACATGATCACACTGATATACCTTTTACACTGGGGAAGGCGCTAATCAGTGACAAATGCCAAGACATTCTGACAGCCTCTTATCTGAGTTAAAAATCACTGACAAAAGAGACTGGAAATCAATTTCCTCAGGCTGGCAATCATTAGCCTATAGAAATTGGTCATGTTACATCTTATCTACCTGTGAGAATCGTTTTACCAACTGAGTATTGCATAATAATGTCAATTATTAGTACTTTGAGCTAGTCTTAATTACCTGTCAGCTCACCTGAATTCTCTTTTTGTCTTTTTGGGAAGATCTTGTCAGTGAAATGTTTTATTTGTCCTGTGACAAAAATTCGTCAATATATTGAAAAAAAGATACAGCTGTGCACAGCAGTCGGAGATCGGTAAATTTCACTTGTTAGTTACGAACTACTTCCTTGTTTTCACAAGGTCCTTCAAGACCTCTAAAACTTCGTTCTAATTGCAGCCCATACCATAAAACACCCAAAAAATACTTAGATATGGACATTTCGGATTATATTAATGCCAAATTTCCACATGGCAACGATTTACAGCCTCCCGGGAATTATTTTCCATTTACGCTCTTTGTCGCAATGGCGGTCGATGCAGCATTCATTTTAAAACAAGTTGACCGCCAATTAAGCACGATTTTGCACCTTCAAGTTCCATGTCAGGTTTTCATATCATGCTTTTATTATTTCTACAAGTTTTCTCTGCCCAAAATGCGTAAAGAAAAAGTGTTATCTTACCATGTTGTTTAGAAAACTTCTTTTTCCTCCGACAACCCGTCTTCACTGCCGTTCACGCTATGTTAAAATGACCACTCAACTTCGTTTCTAACACCACTGCACGTCACTTCCGGCACAATTCTGACCAATGCTGATCTTCTCCGGTTCCCTTTATTGTCTAGAGATTTTGCCCTGTTTATTATCACAACTATTGGGTACTTATTATTCATTTTGTTACAGAGTCCAAGCGAACCCTGACAGATGACCTAAATGGCTGCAGGGAGCTAACTTTGACTGCAGAACTGAGCAAGGGACGAGGTGATGTAGCATGGCAGCACACACAGCTGTTCAGACAACAAAAAGATGAAGTACACAACTTCCCATTTGAAATAGTTATCAAGCTAAAGAAGAAAGACGGTTGATATGCTGGTTCATAATCATCTTTTTTTATATGTAGAGACCTTGTAGGATATATGTTGTGAGACTTTGTCTTCACCATCTTACATATACTACTTCACCTAGTACTTGCAGCACTGCAGTTCTTTACTTTAAATTCACTGGGAGGTTTTATATGATATTAGAATATACACCATTTAGAGGCAACACGATTGCAATATGTTCAAAACTTATCACACATTTTGTGATACGGTTTGCAGGTATTTCTGTGATTCTAGTTCCACATCTGCCAAAGTAAATTTCAACTTTAGAGTCTTGAAATTCAGGTACTAGTAATATTCTTGAAGAGAGTCCAGGTGTATGAAAATTTCTCTTCCTTTGAGGTTGAAGCAATTTTCCTGGCCCTTGCACACCAGGTAGATTTATTATGAATCAGGCAAATTTTTTTAATTATAGGAACTAATCATTTTAATGTACTTAACAAAACATGTTTATCAGTTGAATTCAAACTCTATTAAAACTATTTACAGAAATGATTTGATATTTTCATTTAGGATATATCTTTTTCTTGAAATGATAATTGCTAAAAACTTCCAAAGATTCTTTACTTCCATGCATTGTCTGTGTGACTCTTTTTTTTTTCTTTTTTTTACCTTACCACAGTTCTTTTGACAATTGTTAAGTTTCTGGGTATGTACCAGTTTTGCTGTCTAGTATTTAAAAATATGTTAAAACCATCAGTGACAACAGACACGTACAGTATTCAGGGAAGACAGAAGCCTTTTCTACATGTCAGCATTTTATTTTTCAATTCTTGCAAGAAAAATAAAGACATCTATTAACATACCAACAACAATTTATTATTGGATTTAATTTAGTAAAAACAGCAAATTTGCCTCTGATAATATAACATTAAAAAGTAGTCAATTATGTCAACACTTAGAAAAGTGAGTATTTTATTTTTATCATATTAAGCGAAAGATTTCATTTTGACTGTGTTGTAATTCAATAGTCCAAGAGGGCATTCCCAGAGATTTAGATCGATCTTACTAGATCGACCTAACTCCCTGGGGGTTCATGCTAAATTGCAGTCAGCGGACCGCGCACGGAAGTAAATTACCCCCTTACCCCCTTGTAGTAGGCGGGACGGACATTTAAGTCGGATTATCTGACAGTAATCTAGTGAGACTCCCCACGGGGATATATCAATCTAAAATCTATGGGAATGCGCCCTAAATCAGATTCTAATAATTTAATAAAAATACTTTGTGCAGAGTTTGTGATAGGTATTGATGCTGTACTAGTAGAATCAGATCAAACTAATCACAGCCATATAATTATATATATATATACATATTTAACGTTACAGGTCGTTTCTTGTAGACAGGTCATTTTAGTATATCATTTATCAGAATTTGTCATTTTAAAAATATTTTTATCAGCAATTAAATGATTTTTTTTTCATAATAGTCGTTTTTCATTACATTTTTCTCTTTCTGTACTTAGATGACCTGGTATTTAAGGACTCTTCAATGAATATGTAACCTGGCCATTGATGTAATAACTAAAGGAATGGTCATGAAAGGGTTCAACTAAAACTGGTTTATGCCCAATTTACAAGGGCACTTGATTACAATCCACCTATCCACCTCTCCTTGAACTATTCACTTGAAGATTATACCAGTAGATGGAGTCATTGAGACCATGTTTCTAGTCAAGTTGAGTTTTGCCCAACTTGGTATCAATCTATTCAGCAGGTTGTCTGGTAAAGTTTAGTCCACTACAGGGAGTCAACCTTATGACACACAACTGCCTCACCTACACTGATGGTGAGTTCAACAACAGAGGGATTAGATTTCCCCTTTTGGTGAGCTAATCACAATCAGATCATGCTGAAATTGGTTATCCAACTTCACTAGAAACACAACTAAAAATTTCTTTCTTGCAGTTCATCTTTAACTAAGTGAATTAGCTAAGTCTTGTGTGAGCAAGGCTTATGTGCCACTAAAAGTATTTCCAGTGCCACCAAGAGGATTAAGTACTATCTGTGGTGCATAAGCTCTACTCTCCAACAAGCTGATTTCCATTTTAAGTTTCTTGTTCATGAGCTGCATGTTTTCCATTTCTAAATCCAGTTTTCTTTTTTGTAACATGAGGACTTCATACTGAAGCTTGTTCATCGTCTCTTGGCTAACATCTAACTGGGAGTGTTCTACATTGGGATTGGAACATGATGCATGGGAATCTGAAGTGGTGACTTGACTGAGGGAGTCCTGAACTCTGGATTGATCTTTTGTGCTATTAGCTGCCCTTGATGAATAGTCTGCTGGCCTGGAATGATTAACAAAACTTTTTGTTGTCTTTGGATGGTTATACTCTTCACTTGTGTGCTTATCTCTGCTGTGTGTACCCACATTTTGTGGAATGAAGTCTGCACTTTTTGACTGAGCACCTGTTGCTGCCGGTGCACTGGATACAGATAAACGAGAATCTACATTTGCTTCAGAGGATGTGCAGTCACTTGTTTGCTTTACTAAATTTCTTATGCTGCTGACAGATGGCAGATTACACCTTGTATCCCAGGGACCCAGTGACGAGATTCGTGGAGACAGGGAGCTTGTCAAGGGAGTATTGTCCAAAAGTTTCTTTATGGAAGAAATTTGGGGTGGTCCATCTTGTTTTTCTTCTTCTGCATTGCTTCCTGTGTCTGTGTCTTTTTCATAATCTGGAAAAAAAAGCAATTAGCTGTGTTACATAATAGGAAAAGAATGTACCTGAACTAAAGAGAATTTAGCAAAGCTCTTGATAATTAACTTGAATTAACTTGAGCATATAAATGATAGTGACAGATTTTTTTATGTTGGATTTATACTCTGATTATTTGTAAAATAAAAATGATGTGAACTTACTTTCACATTCAACCTTCACCTCAATGACACTAGAGTTGGAATCTTGGTTAGGCGCAATGACAGGCAAACTCTGTTGTGTCGAAGCTGCCATTCCTTTATTTTGAGCTTCAATAAAGGCAGCAATCTCTCTCTTTGCTGTCTGTTTTAGATTTCGCCACTTGTCCTTGACCTCCTGTATGGTCCTTTTACTTTCACCAAGTGAGTTCACAGCCTCTGTGATCTCCCACATGATCTGGAGAAAAAAAAAACTAGGCAGCTTAAGCTGTCAAATGTACATACCATACCTCAACAAAACCCAACTAGTATAGATCTGTTTTAAAATGTACAGTTATCCAGCCTCCTTGTCACCACTGGAGGCAACTAAAAATTTACTTAAAAATCTCCCTTGTGCCAGCTAGCATTTGATCAGAATTTAGTGCTTTGAAAAAAATGCTTGACCTACGGACGTGGGATTTTCAACACGCACACACAAACGGACCAAAAAAAAAAAAAAAAAAAAAACAGCCTCGTGCCCTACAATATTTTAATACCTCTGCAAACCCTTGTAAATCCCTGAAACTCGGAGTGCGCTGCTATTTCATACCGTTTTCCATGGGCAAAGACGAGGACTCAATATCTCTGCATGTTGAGTTCTACTGTAGGCAAGGGTAAGTCAATTACCGTCAGAACTCTACATCTGGATGTATCGTCATTTTTATATTATAAACAACAAATAGCAAAATGTATTTCGAGTAGGATTTTTTTCTCTCTGGCAGCTACATAAAGGCTTGAAAGTGGGACGCGTACGCCTTGAGCACGCCACACGCACACGTGATCAGTTGTCCCCTCTAATGCATTATTTTAGTACGCATTTGAGTCGTGACCAAATAGGTACGAGTACCACTGTAGAACGTGCTAAAATGGTACGTCTGGTGATGGACAAGAACGAAAAGAATGAATTTGTTAAGCAAAATTTGATTTCATAACATATTTAAATTACATAAAGAAATTAGAAATAACCGCAATGGGGTAGTTAGGAACTAGAGGGTGGCGTATTACTGATATTACGCCAGTGTAACGAACGTTACGCTCGTCAAATACGCTGCTGTACATAAGGTCGGTTCCACACATTAAAATAACAGTACAGTTATCAAAATTACTCTCTTTAATTAGGTCATCATATGGCTCAACTTTGTGTTTTGCGCTTCAGATAATTATTTTAGCTTCCATTTGAAAATAATTCGGAACAAAGCTTTTATTTCATTTGACAGTTGCAAGTAGTGGAACAGAGCTTATACAACTGAGACGTACCTATTATTGCAACGTACATATTTTAGCAAGACAAGTCTATTTCATCTATTTTTGGTTAATAGGCAATTCCTGATACGGCATTATTACACTATAAATTCTTTAATAACAAACCTTTCGGTAGAGATAAGACAAATATACAATTGTATATTTGCAAAAGATGAAAAAGAAAGTGTGCACATTTACCCGATGTTTGGCCAAGTTGGTCTCTTTATCTGTGTTTTTATCCAAAAGAATATGTATATGTTTCTCAACCTTTTTCATTATCATTGATGTCTCCAGGTGTGAAAAATTCTGTTTCCTGCTCCTTCTCCTGTAGCAAGCATCTGGGCCATGGCCCTCCTCCATTCCAGAAACGTCGCTGCGTGGGGAACTGCAAGTTACAGTGGTTAGACTAGACATATTTAATGGTGACCCAGCTCCAAATAGCCTGCTAATGTACTGTGGTAGAATCTAGGTCAGTGTTTATATGAATCGCTGCGCTTAATCACAGCTTAGGGTAAGCCTGGTTTAGATTGCTGCTGCACGGAAATATTGAACGGCTAAACTATGGTTAGAAATGGGCTGTTGGGAGGGGGGCGTACACGTCAGAGTTGTTTACGGGGAGCACCTGGCCCTATGCAAATCAAATTATCGAATATCTGATGGATTTAGAAAGAGAGAATACAGAGGTTATTGCTTGAATTGAAGGACGTGGAATATACGGAATATAGCTAGACGTCAAAGGCCCGAAAGGTGCCGAAAAAAAAAATTATCTAATCTCATAGACCAGCTGATAGACTGACTAATCAGCATGCAACATTCATATTTTACTCGGGTGCTAGCAAGTATAAAACTATTCTTATCGTGCATACTATGAATCTGTCAGACTAAATTCATGTTACGTACATCTCCATAGTTATAAAACATTTAAATATCGAATGAATATTTAAAGACGTCTGAGATATTTTTATACAGTGGATTCAGTTCGCATACACTATTGATAAATTCTTTATCAGTTTTTGTGCCCTCACCATATTCTGTCGCACATGTAACTTTGTGTTTACAAAGGAAAATACAAAAATGATAATTAAATACTATATCTAGCTTATTTACAATAAGACTTTTTAACAGACAGGAGTTTTAGATAAATCATTCTATAAATAACATACAATTGCATTCCATTCTTTGTATCTGGTAATTACACCATGTACACTTGGCAAGATAACACACGTAAACGCTTTCACCTGAAACAGAAAAGGCTAGATAGATAATGCATTTCAACGTGATTAGCGAGTATATAAAGGTCTAATTTAGAGTGTCTCTAATAGGTCGTTAATAAATAAACAGTACATTATAAAATGTTCCATTTACTACAAAATACGTGTACTAGGCCTACGTGCGGCAAACGTCTCAGCTAGGCTTGCAGTTCCAAACATTTTCTACCGAACTGCAAATTGACACATACAGTATTTCTAGTTTGTACAACTTGACGCGGGACAGAAAAATAAAACACGATCCAAGGTTTAAACTGAAACCAATATCAGAGCGTTGAAAAGAAGTGTTTTGCTACCGACTTGGTATTTTATCCCTAAATAATTGGTCTAAAATTACCTGTTTTAGTATCCTTTTAATAAAAAAAAAAATGTCTTTTTTAGTTGAGAGGAAGAGATATGCACCGCGTAGGACATCATGTTCAAAATGAATAGGAGCTTTAACGCAGAAAATTCACAGGATATTGGGACTATTCATGCATGCAATTTTCAATATACGATATGGGACCTATGCGCATCTGCCGATTCGGCCTAGATAAATGGTGCCAATATTAGGCCAATAAACAGTACCGAAATGAAACACACAAAATAAAATTTTATTTATGAAAAATTTCTTTTAAAAGTAACATCGTTTACAAAGAAAAGTCTTTAATTTCATTTAAAGTGAAAACTCGCACAGAGAATCCATACCTCCGCCAAAACAACTCAATTCTCATCATCTATAATTAATTAATTAATTAATCACCATCGAAATGTAGTTCATTTGAATTATAAGTAAGTCGATTTCTGACCTATTGTGAAAACGAAAACCCCGCGGAAACAAAAGGGGGGATTAATACATATAAGTTAATTGCAATTAAATACTTGATAAACAATTGTATTTTATCGCAAGGTACCAGTGCCAGGAACGCGCTCTTTGAACGGAGAATTACTGTACCTTGCAAAGAAGTCTTTGAAAGTGCTCTAGACTAAAACTTGAATGTGGACGTTTTGGTTGCAGCTTGGGTTACAGGATCGGAAGTTTCGCATTACAAGAAGCATCGATTAATTGTTGCTTTTGCAGCTGACTGTATTGTGCGACTTGAGATATATATAGAGAGAGAGAGAGAAAGAGAGACTGAGTGACTTATTCAATCACTGTATACTTGACGCAACCATCGTTAAATAATGTACAATATTACTCACAATAACAACCATAATAGTAATTTTTTAAAATGAAAGTTTATTCAAGAGACACGGTGGTAAAGTGCATAGAAGCATTATACAGCCTGGGAGCCACTGGCTGATTTGACGGTNTACGTGCGGCAAACGTCTCAGCTAGGCTTGCAGTTCCAAACATTTTCTACCGAACTGCAAATTGACACATACAGTATTTCTAGTTTGTACAACTTGACGCGGGACAGAAAAATAAAACACGATCCAAGGTTTAAACTGTAAGCAATATCAGAGCGTTGAAAAGAAGTGTTTTGCTACCGACTTGGTATTTTATCCCTAAATAATTGGTCTAAAATTACCTGTTTTAGTATCCTTTTAATAAAAAAAATGTCTTTTTTAGTTGAGAGGAAGAGATATGCACCGCGTAGGACATCATGTTCAAAATGAATAGGAGCTTTAACGCAGAAAATTCACAGGATATTGGGACTATTCATGCATGCAATTTTCAATATACGATATGGGACCTATGCGCATCTACCGATTCGGCCTAGATAAATGGTGCCAATATTAGGCCAATAAACAGTACCGAAATGAAACACACAAAATAAAATTTTATTTATGAAAAATTTCTTATAAAAGTAACATCGTTTACAAAGAAAAGTCTTTAATTTCATTTAAAGTGAAAACTCGCACAGAGAATCCATACCTCCGCCAAAACAACTCAATTCTCATCATCTATAATTAATTAATTAATTAATTAATTAATTAATTAATTAATTAATTAATTAATTAATCACCATCGAAATGTAGTTCATTTTAATTATAATTAAGTCGATTTCTGACCTATTGTGAAAACGAAAACCCCGCGGAAACAAAAGGGGGGATTAATACATATAAATTAATTGAAATTAAATACTTGATAAACAATTGTATTTTATCGCAAGGTACCAGTGCCAGGAACGCGCTCTTTGAACGGAGAATTACTGTACCTTGCAAAGAAGTCTTTGAAAGTGCTCTAGACTAAAACTTGAATGTGGACGTTTTGGTTGCAGCTTGGGTTACAGGATCGGAAGTTTCGCATTACAAGAAGCATCGATTAATTGTTGCTTTTGCAGCTGACTGTATTGTGCGACTTGAGATATATATAGAGAGAGAGAGAAAGAGAGACTGAGTGACTTATTCAATCACTGTATACTTGACGCAACCATCGTTAAATAATGTACAATATTACTTACAATAACAACCATAATAGTAATTTTTTAAAATGAAAGTTTATTCAAGAGACACGGGGGTAAAGTGCATAGAAGCATTATATGCCCTCCGTGATATATAATAGTAATAATTATATTTATTTAGGATCCAATATCCATAAAATGTCCAATGCAACATGAAAAACATACTCTAAGACAAAAATTATACATAACCATTAGGTAATCAAAAAGAGAGGTTTAATAAATATATTTTTTAAAATGCTGAATTCTTTTGTAAAAAAAACAACCATTTAAAAAGTATTATCATTTTCAAAGGAGAGTGCTTATCCTCCCTTAGTTAAAAGAAGAGAAGATTAAGCATTATAAGTAAATTGCAATTAATAATTATTGTGTTACATATAATATCTAATGATTTTCAAAAAACACAAGCAAAACATGCATGAACCGTACATGTTCGAAGCTTAGGTATGGCTTACCTGGAAGAGTTCAAGTCCTTCATCAGACCTTGGATGAATATATCCCGCCAAGATTAGACTTATGACTATTTATGCCCAGTTTAAAGGTTATATACTTTAAAAAGAAATATTTAAATCCCTATTTATATTTAAAAAGGATAACTATATAACAAAACAATGTCTTTTGTTAATCCAAACAATCTAAAATTAATGTAGAATGTTGTTTTAAAGATGATTTATTAATTATTTCTTAAAGTCCTCTGAATGTTTAATTTTCCTCAGTTATTTCAGTAATTTATATCTCCCAGTAGGGGGTGCTCTTTTCATTTTATATCAACACAAGTCTCGTTTAGTTGATCATCTGAATGAAGTTGACGAGTTGTACAATGCGCAACAAGGTGTGGAATTCATGGATAACCATAATTCTCCTGTTGCAGAAATACCTTACCGTGATGGTTCTATACTCTTGCTTCATCTTTAATTATGTTGCCTAGCTTCAATTGTTAAACCATTATCTTGTCCTGGTAGAGATGTTGGCATTGTTTGGACAGACTCACACGTTATTCGGTAGCTGACAACAGACGCCGAGTTTCGCACCCTGCTTGGTCGATTTTTAAACCGGACAAAATTTGGACAACAGAATCTGAAAAGTTTTTTACAGTTTTTGTAAAGTCTACGATATCCGTCTCGTACAGCAGATAACCTCACGCCGTAGATGAAAGGATCAAGGATAGAACTTACGGCAAACAAGGTGCGAGTTAGGTAAAGATGGTTCCAGCAGGGAGGTATTGTCGGGTCACAAATGACAGACACAATCGGGTATGGAATCCAACAAACTAGCAGTACACCAAATAGTTGGGTAGCTGTTCCAGTTAGTTTAATGTTCCTGGTCAAGAGAAGCTCGCTGTTTCCATGTTCCAACCTTTGAAGCCTGTGAGTAAGCATAAATAGTTTAATGTATGTTGGGATTATTATGACAGACGAGATACCAACGACGGAGGCCAACAATATGGCGTCCGTGTCAAGCTGGAACTCAACGTGTAACACTATATGTGTTAGACAGATGCAGGAGAGTGTCAACACCCGACTGTGCACCATCGTTTGGAAATACTTTGCGAAGCCAAGAGTGATCGAAATCGTCCAAATCATTACCGTCACTAACCACAGTGGGCATTTCGTCATGATAGTTGGATAGGTAAACGGCAGAAATACTGTGATTCCTTTATACAAAACTATCGCCACGAGAGTGAAAACTTCAGCAAATATAGCACTCAGAAACACATAATGAGTTAAATGTTGAATACACGGCGTCACCAAACCATCTGCGTCCAAACTGACTAGTTCAAAATCTTCAAGTGCATTTAGAATTAGCGCTGCTATAAGGACAATGATATCGGCACTGCAAAGGTTCGTTAGTAGAACCAAAAAAGGATCCCTTTTTTGTAAAACATGGATCAAAGCTGCCAAAGAAACAATGTTTTCAATTATTCCAAAAGAAAGCAGACCTGATGCTATCATCGTATATCTGGGAGCATTAAAAAGGTCACTGCCGTTATGTAACCCCAGTAATGTCCAATTTGAAATATTATGCGTGGTGTCCTCATTCCACAAACACATTGTGAGGAACAGGTTGTAGTTTGTAAGTTGTAGGTTTAAACAAATCCGTTATCTACTTTATAATGAAAGTCCTGACGTTTTTCAATGATTGGAGATCCTGCCTCGCCGAATGTTGAAAGCTGCTGTAACATCTGGCGATAAACGCACAGTTTTTTTATACATGTGGATATCCCCAGAGGACTTTAGTTTATGTACCAGATGTTAACAATTTAAAAAGCCCCATTTTGTAATCATAAAAGTATTATCAATATCCTTTTCAGATTTTATAAACGAGTCATCTGTGATGTCAACGCTTACGCGATGTTCGGAAACCATGTGGGGCAAACCATAGCCTTTGGCAAGACGCATCATTTGCTATAGAAATGGTTTATGGGTTGGAACGGAGTCAGAAAACAACTAAAATAGGTTTATAGGTTTTTTAACAGTACAATATATGCATATTAGAACTAATAGTTGACTAATTATACTCATTTATCATTAAATATGCGTTTCGAGAAACCCTTTTTTAAAATTTCGGTTGATGTCAATTTTACTGTTACACGCTTTGCTTCAAATTTCATTCCTCACAATTACCAACACTCGCGGTCATTTCACAATTAAAATACATAGTACAGGCAGTTAAAAGGCCATTGGGTTTCTATAAATGTTCTTTAAGGAACAATATGCATGGTTTGAAACGTCCTCTGTCGCAAACTTAAATGTTATTTGCATAATCTTAGGTGAACTTTAATTGTGCCAATTTATATGCTGTTGCAAGAAAGCATAAAGATTTTCTTGTTCTTATCCTGGGTTGTCTTTTTTTACCTAAATTCTTCAAATTTTAAAATTCTGATAGCGCTTTCTAAATGAATGCATGGCCACGTGGTAGTAAGTGGGTTTTACAAAGTTACTGGGTCTAGATACTACTAATCTAGTCTAGTGTAAATTTAGATTATTAACACTTTGAATAGAGATTTTTTTAAAGGTTCATGTCAGAGATGTTAGTTTGTCAGATTAATTTGTAGTTTTGTGTGTGAAATAAATTTTAACACTCAGTTTTGTGGTTGTGGTTAGCCAAACGGGAATTGAACTGATCCAAGTAGCCCCAAGCTCTCCAAGCCACGCGTATTTTTTATTTGCTGAATAGGAAAATACATAAGAGTGCATGAGGCCGATTATTATACGAACTAGAAAAGAACCTGGTAGTAGTAAAAAAAACTGTTTTGACACTGGTTTGTTATGAAACTTTGTGCGCCAAATATTTTTTAAAAAGCTCATTAATTTTTAGATTAGCAAAAGAGTATTTCAGCATTACGTTTAGATTGCATAGTTTGTGGCAGGCGAAATATATAGGTTTGAGGTAAACATTTATAAAAAAAGGTGTTACTGTTAGACAAAAATAATGAAGTGGGTTCTTCCTTTTGCTCAATACTTCCTTAGCATTTAAATATGAATGGTATTATACCATTATACTATAGGTCACAATGATAAAATAACAATTTTATCGTTCTATTTTCTCCTAGCGTAAACTTAAATTGAGAAAGTTCCAGATTATTATAACGTGCAAAGAAATCTGGTGTATTTATAAAGCGCCCATTACTCCTTCATCCAAATTAACACTTGGATCAAAAATCGATGACAAAGAGATTAAAAGCTACTAGTAGATGTAAAACGCATCACTGCAACTCCAAATTCTCAACTTCATAAACGTGTTAGGCAACACGCCATTGCTGTATAAAAGCAGCATTTATTTATTAAAACCCCAGGGTACTTTGAAAACCACGGATCGGCACAGACAAAGGAAAACGTTAATGGTTTCTCTGTAAAAAATGTATGCTCTGGATTTTCCAGCTAAAACTGCGCCACACACCTTTAGAAAAATTACAATAAAAGAGAATCAATTGGAGTACGGTGGGCTACAGGAAAATGGGTAAGTTAGCCTCCTCCTCTGGAGGGAGTTGTACAAGGACGTTATCTGTATACATTGTACCTGTTGCCATTATCACTGTGTCAGCTTGAGTGGAAAACAAACCACCCATGATGTATTAACCTTCATCAGAACCACCTCCCAGCGGACATCTTTTCATGTTTTCCCACGAGTTCTGAACAAAATTAATGACAAAAAATGGGATTTTGCTGCAGTTTGAATTATTAATTGTTTTGAAGGTTTGAGGTTACTATATACTGACACCACCATTTGAGATTTGATAAAATTTGATTTAGATCTGATTTTTTTTATCAATGGTAACTACATGCAGATACAAAGAAAGCAGCTGCAATGAAGCACGATACATGTGCATAATGGCATTTTTATTTCTATATATAATATGTATCATTGTATTACTTTTTAAAACCAGTTTTCCAGTGGGCATGTGTCCAGCACTTTAATAGATTTTTGCAAGATATCAGCATAAAATTCCTCCAAGGGCGAATACATACAGTACAATCAAAGCTAAAATCTACTCCAACAAAATATCAGATTGTTTCATGGGTTTGATGTTCAACATGAATCTCACTCACACCTGAAGCAGGCCAGCCAATTTAATAAAGACTTGTTTTAAAGTATGAGCCTTATGCCTGTAGTGTAAGTAACTGAATAGGACGCTGAACTTTCAGTTTGAAACCAAGTTCTTGGACGATTTAGTATTTGTGTCTATGTCACCACAGAGATCCTGTTTGATGCCATCAGTTTATTTGCACCTTTACTATTGTACATGCCCTGTGAGGTCAACTTGGCGGTCCTTTCCTTCGTCTTCTCCAGCTCTTCCCAACGCTTCTCCTCTGAAGCTCTCTGTAAATAAGTAAGTTTTGTCAATTTTGAACTTCAAATTTTTAATTTTTTTTAAATCCGAATATTTGGTTTACCTTTCAAGATCCTAAATGCTAAATTAGAATATTGAACAAACAGTTAAAGGACTAGATGTTTTACCACTTCATGAAATACCTAGGATGCAGCCTAATTGTTTTGTTTTTACCTTTGCGTTGATAAAACTCCTAGCCCTCTGTGTTTGCTTCCTGGAGTCTAGTCTTTCTTTGCCCTGTTCTTCTAATCTTGCAGCTTTCCTCTCTGCTAGCTTCTTCTCCAACTCAAGCACTTTGTCATCCCTCACTTCAGGTTTCGTCTGTCGTGTCTTTTTCTTTATCTCTAGCCTAAGAAGAATTATAATTTATAAATGGATACAACATTATACAATATTCCATTTATCATTTTGATAATTGCTCGATGTAATCCCATAAAACTTAAATAGAAGCAGAAAACAGAAGATGAAGAAATTCTTTTTACATTAGGTACTTTATTAACACTTCACTCAAATGTCAACACTGGCTGCTGAAAACTAAATGTTTTATTAAATATTTAAAGAAGCAGCATGTACAAATTACATTCTGGATAAATCCCCATGACAGTAATAATAATTATTCTCAAAAAGTTCACTTTTCTTTGAATAAAAAGGTGGAGCAGGTGTGCATGAAATGCACCACTGAGACAAATTAACAGTTTTAATGCATAAAACGATGTCTTATAATGGCATAGAGATGCCACAGAATCAGAAGGTCTGTATACAAGCATCCCATGTGGAATAGTTATTGGCTGACAATACGTTGTCTGACTACTTGGTAACTGGTTATACTATTCAGGGTGCACTAAAGTGCCAGGAATATTAATGCTGTGGGAATAAAAGAGTTTGATTAATTTTTTTCAGCTCTTTAGGCTATTGACCTTTTCATAAATTTCATTACAATAACTCATGCACATGCAGGGTTGGGTTATTTGTATCTGGTGCTGGACTCTGATGCAACCCTAATGAAAGGAAATACTAATAACAAAAACAAGTGTTAAGTAAGGAACCTTATGCTTTAGTAAAAAAACTATTTTTGTTATCAGTGCATTCTATGTTGTTGGACCCTGCTTCATTCAATTAATCTGGGACTACTTAATATTGTGTAAAAATTGGTGTGCTCTCCAGTTGTTCTAGTATTTAAAAGGGATGAGCTAACATTCTAGCTGGTGCAAAAGATAAAACCCTCAATTTATACATATTATGAGGGCATATCTTCATATTCATGTCCTTGAACCATTTCATAGCATTTTGAAGAAGTAAAAATAGTTTTAGAAAAAAAAAAAACATTTTTCTTAGTATGTTTTTTTTATTCTTGGTGCTTATTCATTTTCTCATTCCAACATTTTTTAAACTGGAAAAACAATGTTTGTTGCTTCTCCATTTCAAGTAATTTTCTCAACAATTTATTCATCTATTTACTTCACTGTGACCATTTTACACATTTTTAAGACACCCATTCGAAAAAACACTTACCAATCATTTAACAATTTTCCAATGGACAACTCAGCATTCTGGGATCTGTTCACAAAAAGTCTAATTTTTAGGCTGATCTAAAACTTCTAGACATGATTAGTCAAAAAGGTAAATTTTGCAATACTGGAAACCAGGAGCATTTTATGAATGACTAGACCGCAATCAGTGTAGCTGACACACACATGTACTTTATGTGCTACTGTACCACAGGGACTTATTAAATCTTTTGTCATGCTAACTGCAATTTGCTCTGGGGGCTTAATTAAGAGACTGAAAAAGGAGGAAAATGGGCCTTTTTTTATTGGGGGGGGGGGGGGGAATGCAACTTTGGTGGCAAGACTTCTAAGCAGCCTTTGCTATGATGAATATTTGAGTTCAGTTACTTACATTTAGTGAAACAGGCACCTGTTCCTTTTTCTTTATGTTGTTGTTATTGAATTTGATTTGCTTTAATTGAACAAAAAGATTTTGAAAATCTGTGTTTTCTTTTCCATCACATATCTGCACATATGTGCTTTGGTTCTTATTTGTGGTAAAGGCAAATGCAAACAGTGTCATCATAAAACTTTGTGCATTAAGAGAATACTGAACAGCTACAAAGTAAAACTTTTTCCTTCTCCTTTTACAGTCATGCTGCTATGAAATGGCCCATGTATTTATATATGTATGAACATGCATGTGAAATAAATGGCTACCCTACAATAATATTACCTCCTTGCAATCAAAAAAAGAAATAAAGATGAATTAGTATCATAAAGTGTATAGAACTTTTTCTTTATTTCAGGTTTTATAACTGATAATTACTTCACTTGAGAAATTATATATGATTAAACACTACTGATTAAGTTGTAGCAAAATAAGCTATATAATATGTCCATGTCTCAATAATATAATACCATAAAAATATTTATGGGAATTTTACTTTATCTGGTTTTAATATTTAGGTTGCAAATAATAATTCCTCATTGAAACATACATGTTTTTTGATGGTTTTGAACACTATATGCGTGGGTATAAAATATATATTTGTTTAACTCATATTGAATATCTGATTTAGAAATAAAAAAAAAATTGAAATAACATTTGCATATATGCTGTAACTTACCTGTTAGCTGCTGCCTTGGTCATTTCTGATCTGTGTTTAGAAATTGTCTCCAACGTGTTCATCAGTAGCTGATCTTTAGCCTTGAAATATTGAATGTGTAAACCATAATAATTGTAATATTTATGATAAAAATGACAAACTAATGAAACTTTAATTAACTGAGTTTCTTATTTAAGAAAAGTTACTATTTAGAGCATGGGAACATGGGAACTAACTGTCCACCCCCTACCTCTTTAGATGCCAGGATTTCATCTCTCTTCTCCTCCTCTGCTTCTCTTTCTGCCATTTTCATTAAAGCTAGCCTTTCTTTGAGCTGAAATAAGACGCAATGCAAGATATTGTTTTTTCTTACTAGTGACAGGTGAAATAACTGTATAAAAAACAAATAGAATTGTGTATACTGTATAACAATTTTATAGAAATATTGCACAGTAAGATGAAAATAAAATGCTATTTAAATATCCAAAACTGTTTCAGCAACACATACTTACCTCAGCCAGAGAGAACTCACTGAGCAGCCCATAACCTGCTGTTTTAGTGAAATCCACAAACTTCACCCTGATAGCCGGGACAGCTTCCATGGCTCGAATCTGCTGTATGATCTCCATTTTTCTTCTCATCTCTGCCTCAGCCTGGAGATAGAAAAAAAAATTAATTGCTGAGAAAAAAATGAAGTTTTCACTAGACAGTACATTCACATATTACAACATTTATATGTATATATTCCATTCAGATTAATTTTTGTATTATTGGCTTTATTATTACTTGTAGCTTGCTGTCTTGTAAAAAAAGACTAAACAAAGTTGTTCTTCATCCAAAGCAGTTTTTTTAACATACCTCTTCTAATGCTTGCCTCATCAGTTCCTTGCTTTCTTCATTTACATCTTGTACTGCAAAGATGATTATTTTACATACAGTATTCACTATAGGCTTTCTCTTAATAGTGCAAATCATACTGCGTGTAATTTTGTGCAGCAAACATAAATCCACTTAAGCGCTAGTGCATGTTTAACATTTAACTATAATAAGAAACATAATAAGAACCTGATAGAAATCATATTCATGTTATCAAGGAATCATGACTTCTGCTTGCCAAATGTCAAAAATAATAACAACCAATTTCTACCTAAAAAAGTGAACCATGTCTGCACGCTAATATGTGTATGCATGGAGCTACTGGTAGTTGAAAATGTATTCGTTAGTTTAAATAAACCCCCTTACCAATTTTTCTTTTGTAGTCTTTCAGTTTCTTTTTAGCCTCTTTGGTATTTTGATGACCTTCCATAGTCTGTTCTACCAGAACCCTGAAGAAAAGGCAAATAATAATAATAATAATGACAATGCATAGTTTATTAGTATATTCGGACCATTTTGGCAAATTTTGAAAAAGGCATTTCAAACCGTTCATACAAATGCCTCTGTAGAAATGATGAATATATTTTCATCAATTCAATTTGAAATATATAAAAAACTACTTAATCTAAACAAATAGCTTAAATATATCCTAGGTTAAATGTGTTCAGTTTACCTCATTTCTTGTTCTTCTTTAAATTTCTTTTCTAAGTATTCCTGCATGATGGCCTTTGCCTGAAAATATTTATAAGAATATCAATATCATTTCATTAGACAAAACATAATGTTAATAATCCTGTTAAAATAATTTTTCAAAAATTAATGTAACAAAAATACCATGAATTAAATGTAAAGTGGCTTTCAACATTTTAACAAAGAGAAAAGACAATTTTTTCATGAACACTATGAAATTTACTGCTGTTGTCTTACACATGTCCATCCTCTACTAAACATTCAAAAATAACTGTACCTCTTCTTTCATTTCTGTCACTTTTTGCTTGTTATCTTTAATAAGATTCTGACGGGCCAAAATTGCATCCTCATGGCTGAGCTTTCCCTCAAGACGTCGCTGCTCAATCTCAGCCAGCTGACGATCCATGTCTTGCTTTCTCATTTCTTGCTGCCACCTCAAAAAATCTGAAGCATCTTTGGCTCCTGCTTCCAATCGCTCTAATCTAAAATGATCAATACATCAATTTTTATGTTCTACTTGTTCTCTTAAATAGAAAACATACATGAATATCCTTTTCTTTCTTTTTTCATCTCTCTTATAACTTTCTTTTTTTTTTCTTTTTTGAGAAACTTTTCTCTACATGCTCACATATGATACATTGTAAAGTAAGTCTCTAAAAAGCAATGATACATAGTTTTATTGTGATTCAATTTGTTTCTTCTTTAATTCTCTGACAAGGCATTTCATCTTAAAATTAAAACAAAACTCTGGAGGGTTTAGCCTTATCCTACATGTATTTCCTAGTCCATATGAAGTCTCATACTTCACCTTCAGTCAACATCTACATGTTTAACACAAGCAGTACAAACAGCTGTGCCCTCCCCCCCCCTTCCCAATGGAAAAAAAAAGCATTTTTTAGACCTCCAGCCATGATTTCACATTTCATCTCAAATTTTCTGAATTGCTGAATTCATATCAAATGGTAAAATGCTTACTTTCTAAGTTCTTCTTCTTCCCTTTTCTGAAACAGTTTTCCCTCTCGTAGAATACTGGCTGCATTCAGTTTAATGGGAATGTTTTCTGACTGCAAGGAAAGAACATATGAGATCAGAAGAAAAATGCTCATCTTATCATCATAATTAATGTCCCTATTAATTCCTACATAAAACAAATACTGAGCCATGTGTGTAAGATGCTCTGTCAAATTATGATTGCTGAATTTTTTACATATGTACTTGAACTCAAATCACATTCAGTGTGTTTGAATAAACTATAGGTCCTGACCACCATCATTGCATTTTGCATTGTTTACGTGCGACAAGAAAAAAACTTACTAAATTATTTCTAATCAATACTTTTGACAAGAACATTCTTTTTACTTAACTTAAAGGTAGGAGGGAAATTATTCTGTGTTAAAATAAGTATGGCATATATACAGGTATGGTCTATATAACATCACTGCACCTTCACTAAAAAGATTTTTCAAGCAGTAATAGTATTCATATATTTAAGAACAGGCTATAGAAATAAATTAAGACAACTAAATCCCCATGTTTTGTCACTTCAAAGGGTAAGTATCAAAAGGCAAATCAAAATCTGTTCCATTAATTATTGTGCCAATTACATGCATCCTATGCTTGCGATCTTGTGCATCACATTCTATACTCACCACAAAATTTGGCAAAGGGTTGGCCTTGTGCTTGTCAAATTCTAACTTGCTTTCTTGCTCTGCTAGAATAGACTGGAGTCTGTGACGTGTCTTGTCTGACTTCTCTGGATTGGCACAGGCAAACTGATACCGAGAGGACTCCATTAGCCTTTCCTGAAAGGCAATACAAATAACTGTTTATCCAAGTTTAGAAAAGAATGGATTTCATGTTCTTTGTGTCTTTTTCAAGAGACAAAGCTGGATTTTGTCAATATACCGATATATATATATATATATATATATATATATATATATATATATATATATATATATATATATATATATATATATATACATATATATATATATATATATATATATATATATATATATAATGTTGTCTGTCACACAGAATTTTATTTTTGTCCTTTAAAATACAAATTACAAATTACCCATACCTCAGCTTTTCTCCTATTCATAACCTTGTTTTCCTCAATGATTCTTTTCTGTTTGGGATCTTGATAAGTTGTTTTTGGGACAGGTTTGTGTTTTTCCAATTTTGGAATCTGTGGAAAAGAACAAAAATGATATAATCAAACTGATCTACATATAAAACCATTAACTTTCTAGCCAGGTTACTAACATAGCTTCAAACCAAAGTAAAATGACTGACTCAAAATTTCAAAAATTATCACACTTTTTTTAAAGATTCTGATGCCCAATAATTAATGTAAAACTTACTGGCTCTGGCATAGGGACACTTCTGGGTCTAGGCTGTGTTAAATTAAATGCTTTTGGCTCTAGAACAAATTATGATGATGTCAAATACAATGTGGTTTTGTGTACAAAACATTTAAATCTAACCTATATAATGCGGAAACAAAAAGCATTCTTAATTTAATTCTTTATGATCCATATGATTTAAATTCATTTTCATTTTTATTACCATGAACTGTAAGTTTAATGCTAGTTGCTATTTCCAAAAGATGAAAAATTAATCAATTTTAAACAGTATTTATAAAGCTGTACCTGTAGTTGGAATAATTTGCTTCTTAGGTTTGACTTTGTTGGCAATTTTGTCTGCTAATTGTTGGATCATTTCCTGTAGTTCTGGAAGCCACCTATAAAAACAACCAAATGCATATGCATAGTTCCCAGCATTAAATAATTCACAGAAAAAAACTGAAAAATGTCTACAAGGAAATAATTTTGCACAATAGCATTTACTGCCTGTACTATTCACTACATATTTTTTANAATGCAATTTTTTTTTATTGTGATTCAATTTGTTTCTTTAATGCAAATTTTTTTCTTTAATTCTCTGACAAGGCATTTCATCTTAAAATTAAAACAAAACTCTGGAGGGTTTAGCCTTATCCTACATGTATTTCCTAGTCCATATGAAGTCTCATACTTCGCCTTCAGTCAACATCTACATGTTTAGCACAAGCAGTACAAACAGCTGTGCCCTCCCTCCCCCCCCCCCCCCCCCCAAAGGAAAAAAAAGCATTTTTTAGACCTCCAGCCATGATTTCACATTTCCCCTCAAATTTTCTGAATTGCTGAATTCATATCAAACGGTAAAATGCTTACTTTCTAAGTTCTTCTTCTTCCCTTTTCTGAAACAGTTTTCCCTCTCGTAGAATAGTGGCTGCATTCAGTTTAATGGGAATGTTTTCTGACTGCAAGGAAAGAACATATGAGATCAGAAGAAAAATGCTCATCTTATCATCATAATTAATGTCCCTATTAATTCCTACATAAAACAAATATTGAGCCATGTGTGTAAGATGCTCTGTCAAATTATGATTGCTGAATTTTTTTGCATATGTACTTGAACTCAAATCACATTCAGTGTGTTTGAATAAACTATAGGTCTTGACCACCATCATTGCATTTTGCATTGTTTATGTGCGGCAAGAAAAAAACTTACTAAATTATCTCTAATCAATACTTTTGACAAGAACATTGTTATTACTTAACTTAAAGGTAGGAGGGAAATTATTCTGTGTTAAAATAAGTATGGCATATATACAGGTATGGTCTATATAACATCACTGCACCTTCACTAAAAAGATTTTTCAAGCAGTAATAGTATTCTTATATTTAAAAACAGGCTATAGAAATAAATTAAGACAACTAAACCCCCATGTTTTGTCACTTCAAAGGGCAAGTATCAAAAGGCAAATCAAAATCTGTTCCATTAATTATTGTGCCAATTACATGCATCCTATGCTTGTGATCTTGTGCATCACATTCTATACTCACCACAAAATTTGGCAAAGGGTTGGCCTTGTGCTTGTCAAATTCTAACTTGCTTTCTTGCTCTGCTAGAATAGACTGGAGTCTGTGACGTGTCTTGTCTGACTTCTCTGGATTGGCACAGGCAAACTGATACCGAGAGGACTCCATTAGCCTTTCCTGAAAGGCAATACAAATTACAGTTTATCCAAGTTTAGAATAGAATGGATTTCATGTTCTTTGTGTCTTTTTCAAGAGACAAAGCTGGATTTTGTCAATATACCGATATATATATATATATATATATAATGTTGTCTGTCACACAGAATTTTATTTTTGTCCTTTAAAATACAAATTACAAATTACCCATACCTCAGCTTTTCTCCTATTCATAACCTTGTTTTCCTCAATGATTCTTTTCTGTTTGGGATCTTGATAAGTTGTTTTTGGGACAGGTTTGTGTTTTTCCAATTTTGGAATCTGTGGAAAAGAACAAAAATGATATAATCAAACTCATCTACATATAAAACCATTAACTTTCTAACCAGGTTACTAACATAGCTTCAAACCAAAGTAAAATGACTGACTCAAAATTTCAAAAATTATCACACTATTTTTAAAGATTCTGATGCCCAATAATTAATGTAAAACTTACTGGCTCTGGCATAGGGACACTTCTGGGTCTAGGCTGTGTTAGATTAAATGCTTTTGGCTCTAGAACAAATTATGATGATGTCAAATACAATGTGGTTTTGTGTACAAAACATTTAAATCTAACCAATATAATGCGGAAACAAAAAGCATTCTTAATTTAATTCTTTATGATCCATATGATTTAAATTCATTTTCATTTTTATTACCATGAACTGCAAGTTTAATGCTAGTTGCTATTTCCAAAAGATGAAAAATTAATCAATTTTAAACAGTATTTATAAAGCTGTACCTGTAGTTGGAATAATTTGCTTCTTAGGTTTGACTTTGTTGGCAATTTTGTCTGCTAATTGTTGGATCATTTCCTGTAGTTCTGGAAGCCACCTATAAAACAACCAAATGCATATGCATAGTTCCCAGCATTAAATAATTCACAGAAAAAACTGAAAATGTCTACAAGGAAATAATTTTGCACAATAGCATTTACTGCCTGTACTATTCACTACATATTTTTCACATAACTTGAGTATGCAAGTTTATAATAAATTACATTAATGACTAATGAACATCAAAACTTACCTAAGAAGGGGTGACAACAAAGTCATCTGTACAAAAGGTCGTTCATACAATTTATTCCATTCATCCTTAATCCATGTCCTTAAATTCTTGTCATCCATAAAAAAATTAAGAAACTGAAACAGCAAAAAGCACACTTGATAAATCTGTCCAAAATAAACAGAATCTTGAAACATTTTGTTTAAGGATTTTTAAAAATAAAGTTATAGGTAAGGTGCTTGCTAATACTTGTTTAAGAAGCTTACCTTGTACATTTTATTGACATCTTGGGATTTTACAAACTTCCGATAATGTGCCACTTCCAATTCATCCAGCCTGAACAGGGCTAAATATGTCAACACTGGAGATAGGAAATAAAACACGTTTAAAGAGATGTGTCAGATAAAACATTTACAGGTACTAAATAATCATTTAAATCTAATGGGATTTATAGAAAATGTGTTTTTTCTAACTGAATAAAGCTCAAACAAAAATTCTAAATAAATAAAGTTCAGATATAAGCAACTGGCAATTAAGCAATTATTTGTATGGTGATATTAGATTTTTTGGGTTTAGGTTGTTCATATCATAATTCTGTGGTGCAATTGTTAATTATGGTTTTGGGTACATGTACAGGTAATTACCTTTATACAGATTGCTCTCAGAGCGTAGAGAACTCTTCCCACTTCTGATGTAAAAACCATCCAGCACAACATTTAAGACACTATCATAACGGACACATCCTGAAAAAACTTCTGTGATGAAGGTCTGATCACTGTCTTCAATGTTCTAAAATAAAAATGCAATATAAAATAATCTTTGGGTGAACTTTTTATATTCTTCTGGTTTACACAATGTTAAACCACTATGAATACTGACCTTTATTTTTTCAAAACAAATTCAAAGAATATACTTTGAAGCAACTTTGCAAGCTGTAAGAAATTTACCAGACATGGCTTTCTTCACAACGATATCAAAATTAACTTTAATTGAGAACAAAAGATCCATTATTGAACATTCACATGCACCAGGTCATTTTTAGGCTTACATGTACATGTTATGTTCTCTACATCCACAGAGGTATACATTCAATACTCTAAAATGATTATAAGCAAGTGGCATCCTTACTCGTACCTTTAACTTTGCCATATAATTATTAACATGCTGCTCAACAGACCGCAGTTCTGGCTGGAATGTATCCAGCACCTCCACACAGTGCTCTAACAGTTGCTTATGAGCCAAGCTCATTTTGGGTTGCCTGAAAGGACAAGTACACCAGGTTTGGGAAAGTGAACATTTTTGAATAATACTCTTTGAGTGTGGTCTTTTCAAATCAAAATTACAATTTTATCCAAATTATGATGCCATAATGAAAATTTCAAATTGATTGTAAGTGCTGCCTGTTTCTCTTTGTTATAACTTATTAATTCCATGAAGTAACCATTCATCTACTGAGTATTATCATATACTAGTGCCAACTACCTCGTAAGTTTGGAAGATTTTATTAGTACTTATTTCTATTTTGAATTTCAATAGGGGTTTATATGACACTCATTAACAGATTATTTTCATTTTAGCATATACGAAGTGCAGTTCTGTTACACTGAAATTGCATTTAATTAACAGGCGTGCAAAATATATACTCGAATATCTACAAGTTGTAGGATTTAGTTATGGAAATAACAATGTATTCTAATCCATTCACAGTCTACTAGTACATGTACTTGTGAAATTCTGTGAATTTCTATAGCAACTAAATATTCTATTTGATCCATTGAGATTCCGGAAAATCTGTTATGTTTTCGTTGAATATATTAAAAATAATTTAATTAAAATACAGTAAACAGCAAAATTGCAAACACAGACCTATATCCAAACGATCTCTGACGCGAAGAAAGTAAATAGGCCTCCCTTGACGATTGTTTATTGACAACAATATGGCGGCGTGGAGACGAAAAGTGACATGTTGCAAAATAACTTAAAAGCTGAAACATATCTTAATCCTCTATGTATTGTGAAAAACAAAAAGAGTCATTAGAACAAATGCCATCTTGTAAATAGAATAAGCAAAATAAAATTTTATAGATCCATAAAACATAAGATATGTAAGCTTGAAGTACCCATTTTCGGTAACAAGATTAGTTCCGACAATTACCGAAGATTACCGAGCGTCGCTTCTCTGCCTGCAGGACTGAGTGCTCAAGTTTTGAGGAAACTGCGTCAAGTCAACTAAGTTTGGCAATTGGATTTGTTGTGATTTAAAGATAAGCAGCGATGGCAGAAACAACTGGACAGGTAAATTGATTAATTAATGTAAATTCTAGTTAAGTTTACAAAGCTGCTGCTGTAGTAAGAGGGCAGCGGGTGGGAGTCGGCGGATTGCGAAATCCAGTCATAACCGACTTGCAGCAGTAAATAGGGTACCGCTGCAAAATATAATAAAAAGGGGCAATGTTAACACAACTTCCATGTTATTTTATAAATTGGTTTTAATGCATTTTCAAAGCTACTGGCAAAAAACTCCTTTGCTTTTTTCCTGTCAAATAAATGTTGGTGCGTTATGGGTTTAGAAACGTGATTTATTATAAATTTGTTTTATAATGTTTAAGAATGTATAAAAATTATTCTAGAGGAATAACATATGTGTCTGCATGTTATTTTAAAAGACAAAATGCTGTGCTGTACCAACAAAATTGACAAATCAGTTTCTGATTGAATCATTGATGCATGTGATGCATTTGTTTTGTTATCAAGTTTATCCAGTTTACCATTAACATTATTATTATTTTCTTCAATTTCATATTATTTCTTTTCTATTTTCAGGACCTTAAGCAAGAAGTCGTTGATACTGATCTTGGAAGGTTCAATGTTTATTTGCAAGTAAGTGTCTCAACTCTGTTGCTCAGGTGATTTATTACATGTTTTGCTCACGTGGCATGCCATGCATTGGAATTAAGCCACTTTATTTACGAATTGGACAAAAGTGTGTTCAAAGCCAAGGATTATCCACAATTTCTCATACAAAGTCTCCTTGTTATATATATAAAGATGAAAATGGTAGCTATTGAATCACGCTAGCCCACATTTCATTCTCGTTACTCATACATGTGTGCAATAATAGTGGATGCTTGCCTTAATGGTTTATAATATGGGTAACAATTTTTGCTGTCACTTATAACTAGAAAGTTAAAAGCCAAAGGTAAAATTAATTTTTCCTTTTAAGCTATGGATATGATTGATACTTATTGCAGAAATTGAGACTTCAGCTGAAAAAAAATTATATTCATTTCCGTTGCTTCTCAACATTTCGGCAATGTCATGATTTATAGAGGCTCTCTCACATTAGCTTGAGAACTTTTTTACGACAGTGTCTAATGATCAAAAGATGACATGCAATAAAATGTGTAATTCACCTGTTAATGAAAACTTTGTTGTTATTTTCATCAAAGTGTTATGAATAAGTGATAATGTTGTGTAAGCGAAAAATGCTTGATGACGCTTGGACTTTTATGATGTAACGTAGCCACTTAAGCCTTGTTTACAAATTCCATCATGTTTTTTTGGATGCTGCCTCTAGAAAACAAACGGATTACCCACCAATTTTTTTTCATATTTTTTACTCATATGATGAGCAGATTTTGTCTTATAATTTTTATCAAAATTGCTAGGGCAGAAATGTTGTTTCTGAAATATGAGAGAGCTTCTTTTAGATGTACAATGCAGTAGTGAACCTGTCATGGAATAGGGCTTGAAGTTATTCCTCTACTTGCATGACCCGATGTGTGCCACACTTGTCACTGGATATATCATGCCCTAGCATGTGTTGGAACATTGATAAATAGTGAGCATCAAATTAAGTGTTATGGCTAGCCTAGATTTAGCTTGATGCTTGATGTTCAGAGCCATAGGTTATCTCTTGGACAAGCTCATCGTATTGAATACTTAGTACAATACTTACGTAGTTTTCTGCCATAATGGAGCATCTACTGGTCTCTCATAAATATAAATAATTATGCAATATTCTTTATTTTTTCCTGTGGCAAAAAGGAAATCTGTAAGTAGAGACTAGAAATCCATTGGATAATAGAAGAAGTTAGCTTTCAGTGGTCTCAACACATAAAGATCAAAGATCGTGTTGGTTATTTTTGACCTGTAAAAAGACATGGATACAGTAGTGATATAAAAGGATGTATTTGATTTGATATCTGTCCAAATCATCCCAAGGAACTGCATGTTTACTTGACAGTAAACCACTACTCCTAAGGTGATGCACAGTGGGTCCTGATACTTGAGATAAGCAGTAATAATTTAATGGTTTGGAAAATCCCCTAACTCCAGGTTCTTTTATTCAATAATGTTGAACAATGATCTTCAGCTTAATTGGTGTTCTGGTTTTGTAGCCTTAATTGCTTCAGAAAAGGTAAGGTCACTATTTCCAGGTTTTTGTTGAAATTGGGTTAACTTGAGTAAATATGAAGTCCCAAATTCTGAAGAGGTCAAAAGGGTGATGCTATATACTGACCCAAATATTTCTTATCTTATCTCAAAATCCCAACTTAGAATATAACTTTTTTTCCTTCAGAAATGTCCCTTTTACTAGTATGTCATTTTCCCCTTTTTTGATTGAAAAGTTAACAGAACATTATTAGTAGGTTAAGACAACAGAAATCAATAAATTATAAAACAGAGCAAAAAATCTTTGATTTAATCATTGTTTACTTGAGAAAATCTTAAATTGATATAAATATTAGGTTTGGGTTTGTTTGACTATTGTTGGTTGGATGGTTAATAATGATTTGACCTCAGTTGGGAATCCAGAGTTACTTGGTATTTAAAATGAAGATTTAGACATCTAACATTTTGTATAAAATATCACATATGTGCATTGCCCTTGGAATCATCATATATTATATCATTTGACAATCTATACTTGGCAAATGACAATAAAATGTATTTCAATGATAATCCACTGAGAACCCATCATAGAAAACAAAAATCTATATGTCTTTTTACTGTTGACTTGTTAATTTGTTAAGTTACATAATACCTTTCTAAATAATTCAACTGTGGATTGCTCATGAGGGATGTTATATGTAAAATTGGATTTGTATTAAATGGTTATTAGATTTACTGGCCTGTTAGCACATCTTTCAATCAACAGAATATATCTGTAGTTGGTGATATAAACTGCATTGATCAGCTCTTATTATACAATAAGTATTGGCATATGTTGTATTAAATCCTGTTCATAACCTGCTTTGCCTCACATGAACTAGTGATTTCATATTGGTGTTGAAATAAAGCTGGCGAACTGTGTAAATTTCTTTATGTTTACACCAAGTTACTATTTGTACAAGGTGTTCCTTCTGTTGGTGTGTTTTAAAAACGTTTCATGTAATGCTTTCTCTTTCAATTGTTTGAATCACATGCTTGAACCTTTCAGGGCGACCTCGGCCATGCTGAAGCCATTATTCTCACAGTTCATGACCTGGGATGTAACCGTGAGTACAGAATACAATTACTTAACACCAGTTGCATTTGAAAAGGTAGTTCCTAAGGTGTTTTTCTCCTACCTTGCCATATTCCATGCTTTCATGTTTTATATATGTTTTATAATTATCCCATAGGCTAGCTATATTTTCTGTGTGGACTACAGTTACTGCAAAGCTACTCATCTTTCTCAGTTTGAACCTTGAATAAGAATATATCCTAGCTCCTAAATAAAAGTACCAAATGTTGATATTTCCTTCTGAAATGCACAGGGAGGCAAAAGAGTTTGAATAAGTTGCCAGTCATTTTGAAAGTTTCAATTATTAAATTAGTAATGGCGTAGCATATTAAATTCAAGCAGGGACTGATAGAGCAATGATTCACAGATAGGAGTAAATATTTCATTTCAGAGAAAATTTCAGTTTGGTGGAAAGTCCTGTATAGGACACCTTTAAAGTAATTGCTTGGGTCCTGATAATGTACATTACCAATATTTATGACATCAAGCAAGGTTTACATACACTGACATTCAGCTTGGTGGACAGGAGACAAAGGCACAATATCCAAGTTGATTTTAGTTCCTATCCTCTCTTTCTTGACAGACTTTTAGAGAGACTTTATTGATTTTAATTCTTTAGGTTATGCTATTTCAGGAATGAATCTTTTCAGTCTAGTTAAAGAGGGTGTCCATTTCTGTGTTTGCCTAAGTTGTAAGAACTGTTCACTTGGATATACAGGATTTTGTTTACCCAGTTCAAAACATAAGGGATATGTGTAATAATATCCTTCAGCCTATAAATATATTTCTAGTTCATGGTGGTACTTTAAGTGCAAAACACACCTGTCATGCATGCATGCACTATCCTTGATATTTTTTCTGTAAATGTTGCATAGTAGTTATCTATCTTACTATCATGAGCAGATTTTTGAAGTTATTCAAGCAAAGGAAATTTTTATTAGCTTTCCGAGTAAATATCTAGACTGTAATAATTATTGTGGTAAAAGGCATATTAATGAAGAGTTATATCAAGACTCATTGCCCCTATTCCAGATGTATTTACAGTTTATAAGGGTGCATCACCTGAACTGCCCCAGAGTATGTATACAGGTTACACATATAATAAATATCCACTAGTACATTCCAATGCTTCCAAAATGTGTGGTCTAACATGCTAGATTACAGGCTAGAATTTTAGTTCATGGTAGCATCAAGAACATTGTTTCCATGCCCTTGTTTTGTAATGGGATTTTTTAAACATCTGAACAGATGCATGGGCATATTTAACACAAACGTGTCATTTGATTTATGTTTTGACTTTGGAGAGCAAGTGAAAAGTTGTTGTTTGCATTTAAGGTTGATAGTGAAAGAAAACATGATGATTTTCCCATTAATGATATATGCATTAGTATCCAATTTGTAAAACATAAGAAATTGTTGCAGGATCTAATTGCCAATTATCCTCGCAACACATATTCTACTCAACATAGTTTGGGAATAAGTATGACTTTGTTTCCTGGACAAAGTAGTTCACATGTATACATACCACTGGGAATTAGAAGAAAATCTGGCAATTTGATAGTTTTTTAGGGTGTTCAATTGAAGTTTTTTCAGGTCACTGGTTTATCCCTGTAATCCAAAGAAATGACTGTTACTGATATACACTACTTTGATTCATGGTTTACATGAGTAGATTAAATCTGATTCGTGGAAACATTCCTTTTAGTTGCTAAAATTGGATTAAAAATAGCACAAGAATTAAGTCTTGCACATTTTCTTATTACAGAATTAATTGTGAGATCAACTATGTGGAATACTCACAAAATGTATGATTCATAAAAATTTGAAACATCTAATATCAAATTTGTTTCAATATTCTAGATTTATGTTCACCAATGTGCCATGCTTGGGGAATTAAACCATTGGAGAACAAAAGAAAATTGAATTGCTTAATAAACAAAATGTCAGTCTTTGCATTGCAAATTGCTGCATTATCTGCATGTTGTCATGATCAGCACCCAATCTTTCTTCATTCCTAGAGCAGAGTAAACAATTTATGCACTAACACTTGTGTTAGCTAATGTTTGCTAACAAGCATGAATAGGGGCAGTCCTTTGGGGGGGGGGGGGGGTGTTTTAAATTTAACCTCCATTAATATATAAATTGTCACAATATCTTGCCATTGTAGATACCATGTACAATGACTTTGTGAACCATCCAAGCATGAAAGAGTTGACCTCTAGGGTGGTCTGGATTCATGTGGATCTGCCTGGACAGGAGGAAAATGCACCAGATCTGCCTGCAGAGTAAGTATGCTGCATGCACGTGCACATGCAAAAACACACACACACTTTTGCACACACACAAACGTGCTGGTTTTTGACACATAAAGCTTAAGTCAGCCAACTTTCAAATTTATACAACTTGACATTTATGCCACAGTGTGGCAGCCAGTCATTTTCTGTCCACTTTTACATTAACGAGTCTGTCTCAATTATTTGTGACCCTTATGGATATGGAAACAATTATCATGGTGTCATTTGACAGTGGCTATTGGTCTGCATTATTGTCAACATATACATATAGCATGCATGTGACAGGTGCACATGCATGATTTCATTGATTTGGAATGATTTTTAATTTAAAATAGTCTAAATATAATGTTTGCTTTATGAGTGATATATAAGGCTGTACTTTCGTTTACAAGTTAATCTTTTAAAAGTAAATTGACTTGTAAGAGTATTTGGCCTTCACAAACATATGAACTAGCCAAGCTTAGAACTAGCTTGTAGATATTGACAACATATAAAGACAACATCACAAACATCCAAAAATACTACCTGAAAATTGATGGTGTCCTTTCTGTAAAGCAAAATAAGATGAGCTATGCCTCATGTGCCTTTGCATCAAACATGCAGCTGAGAGGTTACATTAAATTATGCATTAGGAAAAATATTCCAAAATTTTGGTAGAAAGTGAGAAATTAATTGCAGCTGTGTGTACAGCTAAGTACTCGAATGCCTATAATTATGTAGAAATATGTTTCCAAATTGGCACAAACTCGTAGTGATGCCATTTTAGTGCATTGTTAGCATAAATAATTGCTTACATATTTATATTTGGATATTTTATCCCCCCTGCATTATATATTTTGCTGTAACATTAATATATTGTACCTACTCACCATGACAGTGGTGCATTTGATTTAAATAAAACTACCCATATTTATCCAATATATGACTTTAAACCCATGGTTTTGGAACAGCTAAACACCAAAGTTAGAAAATAGTCCAAAATGATTTATTTGCCTCCATGCTGATTTTTAGGGCAATGTCAGCACACTTTATCTTCTACGTTGAAGTTGTCTTTTTCACCAAAGTAATCTTAATTGAGTTCAGTGCATGGTGCATGTAAGGTTGAAATTAATTGTTTGTTCAAAAAGCCTTGGCCTATCCAATTCACTGACATTGCTAAATTCAAGGTTAATCCATGGATATAGACTTGCACAAGGAGTCACAGACACCCAGATACATGTTGTAGAACTAGTTCTTTGCCTTGTCTAACCAAATTTAAGGGTCTGAATAATTTGACAGAGATGAATTGTAATCAAGTGGAATGTGAAATTAAATGCTATCAACACTGTATTTTTCTACCCTGGTAACTGGTGTGACAATTAAGTGCAAAATGTGTGAAATTTTATTTTTTATTTATTCAATTTTTATAATTATTGCTATACACTTCTCAGTATCTTTTCTTTTGATGACTTCTCATAAAAGATTAAGAAACTGAACGTTTTCAGTAAAGATTATGTGAAATGATAATATTAATAACAAAATAAAATTTCCCTTCTAGCTACCGTTTCCCAACCATGGCTGAAATGGGTGGCTGCTTAGGGGTGGTGCTAGACAAATTGGGGTAGGTACTAGTATAATGGTTGCTAGCTCTTACACAATATTGAGTGTTTGTCATTCTCAGGGAGTATTTTTTCATTGAAAGAAGTAGGTGGCACCATGATGGCATCCATGGTCTATTAAATCAAATATCTAGTTTAATACTAAATGTGTGAGATGCAAGAAACAGCCTGCTGTCTACAAAATTGCATGCACAGACATTGATAATTTTTTAATCTGGTCAATACTTAAATGCATCTCTCATGTGTAGTTGTTTCTTATTACTCTATTTGTTGGCAAATCTGCCAGCATTGGGTCCCTGTAGGCAGGATGTAGCCCATCAATATATGCACAGGCATTGTGACCTAGATTATTATTATTATTGGTCAATTATGAATATTCTCTGAAATTCATAGCCATTGTGATTAAAGTTGTTGAACATGGATCAGTGCACTTAAATTTTTTTATGGGGGGGGGGGG